ACATGGGCACGTGGAGGTCACACCCCGGGAAAGTTTTGAACGTGATATCGCCTTTCCCTACTTCCCATACCAGTGGAATTAGCTTACCCCGTGAAGCCGAGAATCGGAACCCAAAATGCACGAGAGGCGGGAAGGAGAGAGAGCTGCACGCGAACCACACCTTGTGGTGCGGCTGGAAACTGCCAGAGCTGGCAGGCACTTTGTCACATTCTCGAAGGAAACACCGGTCAAATATGGTCTACACATGTACTCCGATTATCATGCTTCATGCTTTTCACCTACCAGCTGTGCTCCAGCGCCTTTGTCACGAATACTCTTTGCGAAGTCGGCCACCAATTTCTCGAGCTAGTCGCAGCCTGGAACGTACGAGCCATCCGGGATACGACCCGGGACGAACTCGAAACACTCCGGGTAGTTGCCCCTTTCCTCTCTGGGGGAGCAGATTCACGGCGAAAAGGATGTTGTGCAAAGATGTGAACATCGAACACCACAAATAGCAAATAGGGTATGCTTGACGCGGCATTCCTCCTATCGGGGCTACCACCAGCGGACTAAACCACGTGACTGACACCAACCCCAGGCACCATTCACCAACGTAAGACACCGGTCAGCAGGCGAGATGTTCACCTTTCGTTAAGATGCCCTTCACGATGGCCATCCGAAAGATAGGGTATTCGCAGTCGGGCCTTTCGTAGCAAGGCGCAAGAACGAACGGGCGGGCGGGGAAATCGGCATGATATTTTCGGATGACTACAGTGTGAGCAGCGTCATTCCGTCATCTGCATAGCCCCCTGTTGTGTGTTCGGTAAGCCATGCGGGGAACTTGTACAGGGAGGTGATGCGATAGCGTCGGGAGCATAGGTATCATATGTCTCCTATCCTTGAATCGTGCTTTGAGGCTGCCCTTCGAACGAACACATGTACGCCAAGCGGCAACCAGAATGTAGCCATGCGCCGCCCAAAATACAACAAATCAACGCAATGTCGGCCGATTCAAACGGGCGATTTGACCCTGCGCCAATTAAAGGCATGCGTTCGTGCCCACCGGCTACCTCATCACTCACATCTGCATTTTGTTGACACTGAAGGGCAAGAGGTTGGGATCGCGATCCTCCTCCGACCGCACTTCTGTCGCGAACCCCCGTATCCAGGGTCTCATTCCAACCCTAAGCTGTGTTGCAACCAAACAAAATTCGACGGACGCGGGGACACGACGGGACGTGAGCAGTCCATGCGCCGAAAATAATCAAGGAGTCGACGAGGAGCAGCAGGAATGGACGCACAAGACAGCAGCTAGCGGTTTCCACGTCCAGGTGCTGACACCTATACGTCCGGTCTAGCGCAGGCAACCACAAGCGGGTGTCCAAGTGCTGTCGAAGTGCTACGTGTTGTTGTAGCCGACCTCGAACTACATACATATAGAGGACGCGCCAATAACGCTGCATGGTGCCGCCATCCACGCCTTTTTGGAAGCGACGCAGAGAAGGGAAAATGAACCTTCCCACCATATTTTAGAGGCCTTGAGCAACAACATCCTATAGAAAGGTAGCACGATGTTCTGTGGTGCGCGGGCGCGGCGGAATGCGTCGAAAAACACCAGACTGCGAGTGCCAACACCCGTCAGGTGTGCATGACTCGCAAACGTACGGGCAGTCGAGGCATGCACCCACCACGTCCGGGTAGGTGATCAGCATCCCGGCAGTGAGCCGAATGCCCTTCTTGCGCCATTCCTCGTGCTTGGGAGGTATATACTTATCCCCGTGCTTTTTCTGAAGAGACCACAGACCAACGCAACAAGGTTGTAACCGGGCGGCGGGGTGTGGGGTTGGGGGGGGCGGCGGAGTGGTCAAACGAAGGCTGGCGACACCGGTTGGCTGCTCGTTCTTGTTTGAACCGACGGGGGCTTGGTTCACCTAAGCTTCAAACCGCACCCGTGATCCGTGGCATCCTCTACGTACGGGCTGCAGCAGTGCGCTACAAAGCCCGTGATCCGTGGCATCCTCTACGTACTGGCCTGCAGCAGTGCGCTCAAAAGGGTGGTCATGATGTATGCGACCGCACACCACACGCATATCTTATCACGCCGCAGCATGCTGCTAACCTTCGGTTCGGCTCCGCTCATGATGCCACGAAGGACGGAATGGGCCTCGAAGGTATGTGGGATCGTCCGCGCGAGCTTGTGACACCGAGCATGCGATCTCCACGACGTCTTGCGCCAGGAGCCTCCGCACCATCACCACTTGCGCGAAAGTGAAGGGAACACCGCGAAAGAAAAAGTAAGGGGGGAGTCGGTTTGCGCGGGCGTGCACGAGGCCCCCAGTTGCACCGCATTGCACCGCAAAGGCAGCAGACAGCAGACAGGCAGACAGGCCCCGCGCTGCGCGGGAGGAAGCTCCCGCGGGTTATACGTCTTCTGACTGTTGGAGAGGGACGCACTTCCCCGGGCTCATCTTGGGTGCCTGTTGCTGGACTGCCATTGTCGGGTGAGGCGTGTTCGCTGCACTTTGGTAAGCAGCACTCCACGACTACGTTGTACCTGTACAATAGAGAGATGGACATGCTGTTGCGGTGGGCGAAAGTCGAGGTCCAATGACAAAACAGCGTCCCGTCTGGATGTACCCCTTGTGTCAATATCGGGGACTTTCTGAACCCACCTCACCCTCGACAGAGTAAGAGCGACTTGCATCAGGAACGCCACGAACAGAACGCACTTCCCGGACTTGTTGCTGATTTCTTCGGGGATGCCTTGGTCCCAGGCGTAGAAAACGTGCCAGGTTGTGCCATCGGGACCACTCTGACGGCGTTTGTTCAGGTAGTAACTGGACCCGCACTCTCGACAAGTCTTGACATAGTGCCGCATAGGGTAGCACCCGTTCACCCCATAAAACGCCGATTGGAGAAATGTCACTGTCATGGCTACGTCGTCGCAAGACTCATTCTGGCAGAACACTCCAGCATACTGCACCGATCTCGCTACAAATCCTGCAGCAGCTTGCGAACCGTTGGGAAGAGATCTCTGATACGCCGCGAATACGTCCCCTACGCCCCCCCCATTGTCACACAAGTCGACTAGGGCCTGGTACTGCGCTACGGACAAGTCATGCTGTGCCCGGAAAGATGCTGCTGCTGCCCTACTCATGGTCAGGCTTGTCGGGTTGTTATTGACGTCTCGACGTAGATTGGATTGCTGCTGACACGCAACGACCAGAACCAATATGTCTAGAGTGGGCGTGCCATGAAACAAACCACCCTCCTGAAGAAGGATATCCGCCAGGTTGAAAAAACTCATGTCTGGATGAAGTCCGGGGGGCACAACACCGGCTGCGGCGTGCCAACAGAGGCGAGGTTGACGACGGGCATGTGCGAAGCGAATGTTGGATTGTTTGGCGAGGTTTGGGCCAACAAAACGTGCGTGGCGTGCGTGTCGAATGTTGAGCTAGACAGGGTTAAGCTGATCAGACACCCTCCGAGTGTTGTGCATGTCGACGACGGCAACCTGTTGGTAGCGTGCACGTGGAGGGCGTGTGCGTCAGTCAATTTGTGGACTACGAGGTACGGCGAGGAGGCACTGACGCCGGGCGCCTGCGGCACCGTCGCCAGTTTTTTTTTTTTTTATTGGAAGAAGCATCTACAGGCTGGTGTGCAGGCTGGTGTGTACGAAACTCGAGCGCAAAAGCTGCGACGGTGCGGCTGGTTGGGGTGCACTCCCTCGGGACGAGACCGGCCAACGTGCAACACGCGAGGCACGTTTCAAACAGATCAAGTTTCACGTCGCGTTCGACGTTCAGCTTGCGATACTCCTAACCCTGTATTGCCGCTACTGGCCGCTACAACCCCCCCAATCAGAGTCGGCTTCACTGCCATCTGCAACGTCTACAACGATACAGTCTTGCGTGATCGAGGGCACGGATCGCCGCCGCTGGCGGTTGACACGCTCCTGGAGTGTTGGTCGCTCCTGGCGACTCTGAAAATGGCGCAAGGCGTAGGTGCGTATCTGCATTGCATTGTCGCGGGCGTGGCCATCACAACACTGCTGGGATACGCATGCCAGTACCCGTCTCGACTGTTTCACAGCGTAGAGCACTCGCTGTGTTGGCGGATAGACGGTGGTGCCGTGTTGGTGTACCTTGTTGGCATCCGAATGAAACGGGACCACCAAACGTGGCTAGTTTTGGTTGTCCATCGCACTCGAAGCTGTTTTCCCTTTGCTTCGCCATCGTTGGATGATGCTCATTGCACACTATTCCCTGTTTTCCGTATTGCTGCAGCTTGACTGCGCTCCCCTGACTTCCTTGTGCGATTTATTGCGACAAAGGTCCCTGGCTAACCTTCCTGCCGGAAGGGTTGACCCTTGTCGTGGGGAACCCACGGTTGGTATGGGTCCGAGACATCGACGGGGAACAAAGCGGGGCAAATCATTGGAAGGGTCTCCGTGAGTTGACGGCGGATCAAAACGAGGGTTTCTGGGAGAACGTGGCTTGGCACAGACACAGCTGCGACCTCTGCCGCCCTGCTGTGCGGTGCATGAGTGCCCCCATGATCTGCCCAACCTCAGTGGGGCCAGGTGGGGAGTACGAAATCGGGTACGTCGCCGATTTGCGAGTGTACGTCATGAATACATACCTAACAGGTACTCCGAAATTCCCGGTTGCGCTTCGCGCGATGCTGTTGGTAGGGCGACGTATTTCAGACATGTATCGGTGGTTTACTGTCGCTCATGAGCTCCGTTACGCGCTTCGGCGGTAAGCAGTTTATCTTTTGACGGTTGCAGCAAGTCCAACACTAGGCTAAGTAAGTTGTTAAACTGTATCGTTTCATACGTTTCGTGTTATCTGTGTTCCCTTAGCTGCGTTCACTGTTTTTTTTTTTCCGCTTTCCGAGTTTCCGAAATTCCTTCTTTCCACATTTCACCGCCTTGCCTTGGTGGTGAAAGACAGAAACGTGGAGAAAAGGTCCGCCGCACACGTAGATCATATGCATACCATTTGGGTTGGCCACAGAGGAGGACCATGGCAAGGCGGACCACAGAGAAACCCACTACCACGAAGAAGACGAGGGCAGCGAGCTCGTCGCGGAAGGCCGGGGATGCTGCGGCGTCTGGATCGGGCGTGGTGAAGAAGGTGAAGCGAGCGGCGGCCAAAAAGTCAGGAGCGTCCTCTCAACCACAAGGTCTGCCTCCTCGCCCTCCCGCACGCGGCCCTACTCGCAGCTCCACGCGGTCCGCGGGCGCCACGCGGTCCGCGCTCGGAGATAAGCCCCCCGGTGAAGCAGGGGGTGGGAGGAGGACTCCGCCGAGAAAGAGCAAAACTTCTGCAGGCGGGGACAAGGAAAGCGTCGCTGCAGCCGCGCTTTTGGGTCTACATGCGCCGGGTGTCAAGGAAGGCCCCGCCGTGCAAGACCACAATGCGGGGCTCTCCGGTGACAAGGGATCCCTCCCTGCTTCACCGGCAGCGTTAGGTCGGGTGTTGCGTGGCTCATCGCTGCCGCAGGGTGGATATCGTGCGCTAAATGGTAGCCCTGCTCGAGGCGAGTCGGGCGTTGCCACGAGGCCAGGAAACGGCTCTTCCTCGACTACGACAGCTGCGGCAGCAGCAGCAGCAGCAGCAGCAGCAGCGGGAGCTGGCACTAGGGACGCGCCGGGGGGGACCGCCCGTCCGTTAGTCAGGCAAAGAATCGCCACACTCCAAGATGTTCTAGACGAGTCGGATGGAGGTTCCTCCGCTGCACCCTTGCGTGTGGAGGAAGAGGACTCTGCTGATGCAGCGCTCCAGGGCGGCAAGGGCAAGCAACCCGCGCGCGCCCCGCGCATGGAGAACGAGACAGCCGGCCAAGACACTCTGAAGAGGAACAGGGTGGAGTCCAGCAGAACAAGGTGAAAAATTTAGGTACATGTAGGTGATCTTGCGGCTGATATTTTAGCGGTGTTAAAATTTGAATTGTGGAGCGCTTTGTACTTGAAACAACTGCTGTGTCCTGTACCCTGTACAAGTACAGTACCTATCATGCTTGTGGAAACTACTTGCGTGGATACTGCTCTGAACGATACGTAGTATCACCTCCGATCTGCTGTAGTGTTTTGAGTATTTGATTTTCTTTGATTTTAGTTTTTACAATTTTCAAGGTATGAACCGACACTCACCTCCGCTGTGTCTCGGATCACGACTGGTTGACACTTGCCACTGATGGTCCGTTCGATTTGATTCTGTCGTCAGTCTGTGCATTCTGTGTGTGTATTTATTTGGCCTTAATCCGTTCATACGGCGGTATCTTTGCCACTTCTTTCTTGTTCGTACATCTGTTGCAAACAGATCCTCATACATAGCGTGGATAGGGTAACTGCAGCGACTTGTGGCCTTCGTTTGGTGTCCCGGTTGTAAGATCCTATCATCTCCGGACTACTACTGCTGTAGGGATTAGGGACTCCCCCCCCGGCACCGTAGCCATGAATGCTGCGGCGTTGTGAGGGGCCCGCGGCGGTGATTGCCTTTCCTATGCCACTATATTGAAACCACAGAGACATGTTGACGAGATTGTGCTGTACGTGCCGCACATGAAGACAGCAAGCAGTGGTGCCTACAACACCCTGGCGCTTGTCTCGCAACTATGCACCTCGCCCCAATTTAATCTTACACCTTTGTCTGCCTTTGGTGCGGGATTGCAGGAGTCCTGGAAATATGACCCGGTGGAGTAGGAGGTCATCCTACAGGTTGTCCTCGAGCGCTTGGGCGACAGGATTTATGTGAGTTCGGCTGTAGAGGGTACCTGGCGTCTACGCAGAACTTGCGCTATGTTCTTATGCACGCGTTGGTGAGTTTCTTTCAGGGTCGCTCTTTTGAGTTTCAACGATTGCCGTAGTCTAAGGATCGACGCAACGAAGATGAATAATGTTTTTCTTGCCTCGCTTCTCGCTCCACGATACCTTCTCTCCGACCTGTGCGGCTCCCGATTAAATAGACTCCCTCTGACGTATCGCCTGGGGCTAACGCCATCTCAGAAGCCGTTCCCGGATCGGTCTTCCGCACTGTTGGGGTGAATAGGTACATTTACATAGTTCCCGGATCTACTGTACTACATAAGGCACAAATGCAGCAACCGGCATTCTCACGCGGTATGTTCGTTCGCTGTTGAGACCCAGGAGTTTGGCCCTGTTCATGCGAACACCAAATTGGTGTAGGAGTTGGCCGGGTATAACAGGGGTAGCAGCTCATTGAATGCCCTGTGCCCACTTGCAAGAACCCCAGTCGCGGACTCGGGGTGGCTCATCGCACTCGGTGCACGCTTTGCAGGCTCAGTGCAACGATAAGGTTTGATCGTGTCTTTGAGCACAACCTTTATGCTATGTCTACGACACTCCCTTCCTTTCATTATTCTGGAAAACGTCCCGGGTCACCATTAGTATGATCGATAATTCGGGTGGCTCGGTTCTTTGTGCTTGGAGCTCAAAGCGGGTGGCTCATGGCGGAGCGTGGATGGGTAGGAAACGTGTTGAAAACGTAACGAAAAGGATTGGAAAGTATTGTATTCATCGGGGGCGTGCCAGTGCTCGTCAAACCTTCACGGTATCTGGGCACGCCTTCACTCTTTGTCACTCAACGAATCTCTCTGAATCTCCACCAAATACCTCTCGCAACCAAGGAATATATGTAGAAAGTTCCTATCCCTCCGCATCTCATCACTGTTACTTTCGTACGTACGTACCGAACATCTCAACCGTCATACTATGCTACGAGTACCCCCAATATATCTAATAGCCCCCCTACTCGTATGCATCGTCATGCTCCGAGAAAAACCAAATTCCTCTTTACCATCTCTCCAAAACAAACAAAAAAAAACTTTAACACAACAAACACTCCTCCAACCTTCACCAGACTCTCTCTTTTCTCTTGTCCAATCTCGTCTCTCTCTCTCTCTCTCCATCACAGAATACGAATTGACCCCAAAACACTTCCTTCACTGCAAGTTCATCACAAAGTCACGGTGCAATGCAAAAGACTCCTTGCTCACGATCATACCCGACAATCTACCAACTATAATCTACGTAGATCCATGCTCCATTATTCAACCATCAGCTACATTATTTCCTTCCGAAAGAACATCGTGCCCCCCTGATCTGGGAGATCCACCACCTGCCTTTAGAAGGGTCGGAGTCAGAACCAAAGACCAAAAGAACAACAACATTCGAAATTCATCCAGTCGAAAACTCATGGAAAAACAATCCTCCAGCATCGCAAATTCCAAGACAAAAATCCAATCCAACACCAAAACCCAAACCCAAACCAATACCAAACAAATCCTTTCAAAACTCAAACTCCTACATTTGCCGGCCCATCAACCCCGGCGCTTTCATCCATTCCTCCTGCCACTGCTTCTTCCCCGCGGTAGCCACCCTCGCCTCTGCCGCGGGCACCCTTTTCTGCTGGCATTGCCGCGGCTCGGGCTTCATCAGGTGTCACGTATCCGTCTGGATGGGGTGTGTAGAGCTGTCTCTCCGGAGGGATTGACTCGACAGTGCAGGGGAGATTGCGCATTCGAAAGGGGAAGGCAAAGGCAAAATCAGTCACCCAAAGCGTCAATTCAGCACGTGGCACTGCTGGGGAGAATACCTTGCAATACGCCCCCTGTTCTGCGCAGCAGTGATTGTTGTCTTTCGCATTCTATATGACATCATGGTTACCTATCAAATCGAATGCCAATCTGCGACTGAGGTTAATTACTCCTCTTTCGCAAAAATGGCACAACGATTCTTGTGATTTGTCTGACAAGGTTAATTATTCCTCGGTCACGCAAACAACAATGTTGGACCCATGTTAGAGCTTATACAGCAGTGTTTCGGATCAACAACCCAACACATCTTCTTACTGGTGTACTACCACTGCGCTGCTTTCGTGCAGATAGTGTTCTGGTCCGAAATGGAGATCATCTCTCTCGATGTAATCCTGTCGGTTACACAGGCCCCTGACCAAATTTCCAAGTGTGTCCCCTACAAATCCTACCGTTTGACATGCAACGAACAGAACCCGCAACTCATGGTCGGTAGAGGGTACAAAGGTTCATGACGCCTTCGCATATCCCCGTATCAACGTAAAAGCAAAAACAATTGAATCGGAGATCAATCTCTGGATTTTTGAAACATCCGGGACAAGGCATTTCCATAAAGTTCAAAAACTCAAGAAGGTATGCAGCAGCTTGGATAGGATTCGCTGTCAATCTCATCTAATCTTTCAGTTTTTGTGGGTGACTGGCAACCTTACGTGGCGTAGCAGCCATATAACCTCGCAGTTTTTGTGGGTGACTGGCAACCTTACGTGGCGTAGCAGCCATATAACCTCGCAGTTTTGTGGATGACTGGCAACCTTACGTGGCGTAGCAGCCATACAACCTCGCAGTTTTTGTGGGTGACTGGCAACCTTACGTGGCGTAGCAGCCATATAACCTCGCAGTTTTGTGGATGACTGGCAACCTTACGTGGCGTAGCAGCCATACAACCTCGCAGTTTTTGTGGGTGACTGGCAACCTTATTTAGAATAAAACGCCCTGGGAAGGGGTCTACTGCTACTGCTGTAGTCTACCTCGGAAATAACACGATTAAAGAAGACACGTACGTACGTATGCAGAAGAAACGCAACTTGGTGTGCTGAAGGTACACACCCAAACGAAATCTACGAAGACCAACATGCACGCACACAGTAACCACTTCAGACGTAATACGATCAACAGATCATCACGTGCCTGAGCGGATCTACGACCCTAGTAGACGCATGCTGATGGTGTTGCTGCTTGGCATCTCCAGTAGGTGACAGCAGCAGTCGTCACACCCAGCTGCAGCTCACAACTCCAGCTCGGGATCCCGTGTTTCATCCGAGCTGCTACTCGCTGGTTGACCAGTTCTTCGATCCTGGCGTCCTCCGCTGCTTGGCGGGCTTCCGCTGCTGGGCGGGATTCATCTTCGCGCCTGGTGGCCATCGTGACCCTGCTCTTGATCGCCGCAAAGCGATGCTCCTAAACCAAGCTCGACCGCGAATCTCGTAGACGACGTGTCATACGCTAGCGTGATCGATAATTCGGGTGGCTCGGTTCTTTGTGCTTGGAGCTCAAAGCGGGTGGCTCATGGCGGAGCGTGGATGGGTAGGAAACGTGTTGAAAACGTAACGAAAAGGATTGGAAAGTATTGTATTCATCGGGGGCGTGCCAGTGCTCGTCAAACCTTCACGGTATCTGGGCACGCCTTCACTCTTTGTCACTCAACGAATCTCTCTGAATCTCCACCAAATACCTCTCGCAACCAAGGAATATATGTAGAAAGTTCCTATCCCTCCGCATCTCATCACTGTTACTTTCGTACGTACGTACCGAACATCTCAACCGTCATACTATGCTACGAGTACCCCCAATATATCTAATATAGTACGTTCTGTTGTCTGCACTTATCCAAGATCCGCGGACGCCTTCGGTGGTGACACGTAATCTGTACCAAAGGGCCGTATACCTTTCTATAAATTGATGAAACACGAAATATGAATGGTCTACAAACTTTATCTAAGGCGCGATTTATTACCCAAACGAGAAAACACTGGAACGGATACGATCGACCCCTATATCAAGAAGGGATGAAAGCAAACAAGGAAAGAGAGACACTGGAAGGAAACACTATGGAAGAGGGACAGGTGGGTTGTCCAGTCCTCCATGCAACATCTACAACAGGCACTGGGATCCTCGTATATGCGGCGGAACTGTCGGCGGTAGCAGATTAACGTCCGCATTGGCACAATAATTCGCGTGACTCTATGTATGGTCTGACGACTTAATCCTATGCTAACTTTTGCATTGTGTGCTCTGTTCCGTGCTGGAATCGCTTTGCCCGAACGTCATATCGTCACTGGGGAAGGAGTTCAGTTGCGGTAAGGGCTACGGCTACGAACAGTGGTACTCTCGGGTCGCGCATCACGTCAAGATCGAGCTGGCCAAGAACAAGGGTTACATGAAGACCCACGGATCTCTTCTGGAAGAACGCTTCGGGAGGGCGGAGATGCAACACCTCAGGGGCTGGTTCGTCGCGCAGAAGGAGAATTACACGACAGCCATGAAGAAGAAAGGCACGGGCTCGGAAGGAGGCCGGATCCAGAGGTCTCCCAACAAAATCCAGCAGCTGAGGGCCCACATCTTCTCCGGCAACGCTGCTGCGAACAAGCGGAAGTTTATGTTGGAGGTCGTCTCTCTTAAGAACGGGAAGCGCCATAAGGTCGCGCATGCAGATGCCGGTGGTGCGGCTAGTGCCTCGGGTGGTGGCGCCAGCAGTGGTCAGGGTGGGGGAAAGGGGAAGGGGAAACGGCGTCAGAGTAATGGAGTTCGCGGCGGAGGTGACGACACGAGCGGGAAATCCCAAGCGCCCGGTGGCGACGACGCGACGGGGGAAGGCAGCGGCGGGGGAAAAAATAAAAGTCGTCGGAAGGCAGCGATGGTGGCGGCGGAGGAGGATGACCAAGAGGATCCCCCGATGGACGTAGGCGGAGATGACTGGGCCCCCTCAGAATCGGAGGACGAAGAGGAACTGCGCAGCCGAGGGGGGGCTGGTGGGGAGGGCGGTATGTCTGACGGCGACTTGCAAGACGTGGCTGACGACAGCTCACCAGACGTGGTGGAAGTGAAGCGTAAGGGTCGCCGCAGAAAATCTGATAAGTTGGATCCTAAAAGTTTCCAGCTCACAGCAACGAAGGAGAGAGACGCACGTGACAAAGTGTTCACGTCCACCATGCTACAAGGTGTAGGAATGATCATCGGCGGGCATGGGCAGGACGGGTCAGGCGCCGCCGATGGTGCCGGTGGTGCGTCTGGCGTGAATCGGGGGAAGATGGAGGCAGCGGAGAAATCAGTCTCTCTGCTCAGAAGCAGTTGGATGGACTCCATTGTGGCCGAGAAACACGGGTACGGCAGTCAGGCCGAAGTAAAAGGACATTACGATAAATACCAGGCAGCCGTTGCCCGGCAGCAGGCCTTGATCTCCGGAGTCAACGACGGGTGATGTCTGCCTGTCGTTGGTGTTGGTCTGACTATGTTGTGCTGCTTTCGCTTTCGCGTGCGAGGAAGCGTGGGTTGGTGGATGTATTCCTCGTGGAGAGCAAGGTTAGGGGATGGTGCCTGATTGTTTATGTGCCTTAATCAGTAGGGAAAGGCTTAGCAGTTGGAGTAGTAGCGATGGGAATGCTGTTGCGTTTTCTTTTAGACATTGGCGCCGATTGTAGGCGTGAAGGGTTAAGGTTCTTATCGGGCGGGGAGTCAACGGACGAAAAAAATTGGAGGAGGTTACGGTGTTCGCCATTGCCACGGGGGTTTAGAGTATGATGTTCGGGGGGGGTGCGGGCTTGTGTCAGTGTGTCAGCGAGAGCGTTGGCGAGAGGGCTGCTTACCTTGAGGGGAAGGTGCGCATGGTACTGTAGGTCGTTGGTCCGAGATTTATACTTTGCCCAAATAGTTTTTTTTCCTTGTCTTTTTTTTCGGTATCTAAGTAAGTGCGTGCCGTAGGACATGTAATACCTTCGGTATTCTAGGGGGGGGGAGGAGCGGGGGGGGGGGGGGGCTGTGTTTTTTCCCGGCCCGTTTAAATAAGGGTTCCCCCCGGGGCGGCAAGACCTGCC